CCTTAACCATAGGACACCCATCCCCCCATCTTCAATACCTGCTTAAAAAAATTGGCATCGATTTCATACAAATCCATTCTACTGTATAAAGTGGTACATCCTGTATCTGATGACAGTCAGTCTCAATGCACCTGTCAATTTACTTTAAAAATTTATAAGAACAGCATTCCTTCAGACTGTTTGGGTAAACCTTTCTCTAAAGAGGATACTTAAAGGAAAACAAGATCACATGAACTCCTCATGTTAAAGGTGTCGACGTCAAATCGGAACCTGCAAACCTGGCATTAACTACTGGCCAGGCAGTAACTCTAGCCAAGCGTGCCTCTCTCCCGTCTCTCAGGTATGTAAATCGAAATCTATATGTAACAATTAGAAGCCTGTAAAACCATGTGGTTTGGCACTTCGGCAAGACGTTAAGAAGTGTACAGATTAATTGCAGACATTTTCAAATTGACAAGCCACTTAAATAAGCTGTTGAGTAAACCCTTTAATTAAACCTGAACGAGCTGAATATGATGCCAGTGCATGTGTAAGGTTGCAAAAAATATCCTTGTGTACACAACGGAAAGCCACAACCTACTGATTTATTCTAGTCTATAAAACAGAGGTTTTGTCATGGTTTATATAGTCCACCTGCACTTCAAAACCCCTTATTGTTTATATGTTTTTGTAAGGAAACAGCTCTCTTCTGAATTGGGTTCCTATTTTCGTTAAATTTAAGAAACAAATTAATTGGTTGGGATTATCACACTGAAAACATAAGAAACTGTGGTTATGACTCAGCCAGTTATTTTTGGATATGAAATGCTGTTACAATTATCAAAACAAAGTTGTTTACACAGACCTTCATACAAAAACAGCACTGTTTGCTTTCTTCAAATCCCAGCTCATCTGCGGATGTCTGACTGCATTTCTGAATGCTAAAAACAAAACAGTAAATAATGTAGTTGGCTTTATCTTGGCGTGCTCGGAGTAAGAATCCCCAGAGGTGGAAGCACTTTTTCTTTCTTTGTGAAAAATGTAGAAATGCTTAATCTTAATCTATCTGCAAACATTTCTATTTACAAGGTGAGGTGTACTTAAGCCACACAAACTATACACACTAACACATACAATACACACACACACTTATATATATGTGTGTGTGTGTGTGTGTGTGTATTTGTCTGGCTTCCTGCCAAGGATACCTAATATCCATTTACAAAACAAGATGTTACATAAAAAATAAAACATGAGTTTATTACTAGAAAAATCACCAGCCACATATCCACGTATTTATTTAAGGAGTCTCTTTTCTTTTTATAACCTTCTGTACAAATACAAAATTAATATGGTCATACAGTGGATGTTGACACTTCTGGACAGTGAATAAATCATCTTATCATAGCACAATCAAAATAAATCTATATTATACAATGTACAATTTAAACAAGAATTTCATACCACAAGCTTCTCCTTTATAACTGGAATATTGAAGTCTTGACTGAGCACAGAGTGAAATGGGATTTCAACACGGGTAAATAAATTACTTTCAGCTGCATGCATTCTTAACATTTCAGCTATGTAGATCCACAAGTAAATTACCTCCATAATAACTCCAGCCTTAAGGAGATATATAATTATTAAGCTGCTGACACTCAAAGCAACATTAAGAAAACAGCTTTAGACACTTGTGTGTTTGGTAGTGCACAGCGTTCATTGTTTCTCGGTGCTGATGAAACAAACAAAGGAAACTGAATGTATAATTATTTAAAAAGTGAAAAAAGCAGATTTAAGCATTTTCTGAATGACAATTATACTGAAAGCATTCCGAAGGGTGCAGACTTCACTTTTACGTAGTTACTGTTATTCAACTTAAAACACTGAAAGCCATATACGATCTCCAACAGTGCAAGTATCTTAACTGTGCATATTGCATAGTAAATCCTAATTAAAAAGTGAAATACTCAGCGCAAATTCAGATTCGAAATACGTGTATTGTGAGCTAAATCCGTATTCTTTGGAGTCTCATTGTGTACTTTCGACTGCGACATTTCATAAGGGCCATTTATCAGTCAAAAAGTCCTGGAAGATTTTTTTTAACTCGGTGTTTAAAGATGAGACAGCAGACCTAAAATGGATGCCACTACAGTCAAAACATAGTGGGCTCTTACAAAACTACCTGAACTTTCCTCCTCCACGGGGTACTCCGGCAAATCCCCCTCTTCGGTATCGTCGAAACCACTGCCGGTATATTCGACCCGTGTTTCGAAGCAGAGGGTTTTCATGCTGATTTTAATATACTCGCAAATAGTTCTTTCTGCCCCGTCGCAGACGCATGTATCCAAAAGTTCTGCTTTGGGAATATTGCGCATATTTTGAATAACATTGCGGCAGGCGTCCGTGCACCTCAAGCCACTGAAAAGTTTCCCACAGTGTAATAAATACTCGGACATAGCCCTGTTGCACTCGGGGTCCCTCTCGCATTGCCGCCGTGCGTCGGTGCATCCCATGCTGCTGGTCCTGGGCAGGCAAGGCTCGATCGCACGCTTCATGTCTTTGCAAATGACATCCGAGGCGCAGTCACAGTCCTCCAAGGAGGGTCCATTTTTTGTCATGTTGAGCTGGACGAGGGACGAGATGCAGTGACTGGGGCACGTCGTCTTGTCGCGTCTTATCACCGGCATGCATGCGTGCCGATACTGCTCGTATGCAAACAGGCACTCCGACTCCTGTTGACATTTCGCGATCGCCTGCCAGCATATCAACCGGCGGCCATGAGAAGGTGATGTGCTGGATAAATGACTAAAAATCACAATGAAGCACCAGAGGGGCCAAAATAGTCTTTGGGAATAGTGTATCAAGCTGGCAGAACTTTCCATTTCAGAAAACACAAATATCAAGTACAACTCACGTCGACTGTAAACATAAGGAGTATGTTAGTAATCACCAGAGGGAAAAAAATCCAACTTCAGATCCTAAATCCTAAAGAATTCTGGCATAGAAGCAAAAAATCCAGATTTGTCTATAATCTGCTCAGTTCAAGTAGCAATTTCTAACTAATTGAAGTGTGCACAACTTCAGTGTTTTTACTTAACTTCGGCACCAGTTTAAAAAGTCCAACAAGGATGATTAGTTCTATATCTAAAATCTGCTGATAATTCCCTGGGGATCCCTTATCTTCGGGTGAAGCATTCCAGTTCCTCCACGCATTCCTTTAACACGACTAATAGTCCGTAAGCAGCATCACTGGCGTCGTGGCTTGTAAATTAGATGCCAACAATCCTCTTCTTATTGTCCCTTTTATGGGGGAAAAGGTAAATAACTTTCTTCTGTGTTCACAGGTTTAAGAAATGCATTCGGTGCATGATCTTATGGAAGCATGGCTCATCCTTCGTGGAGCAAGCGTGGAAAAGCAGACTCATTAACAATACAGCACTCCACGGCTGCCCACTGTCTGCGGGATCCACTCCGGTTTCCCGTTTTACTTGGACCTCGACTTTACGTTTAGTCGCGTCTCATTGGTCCAAACAATTGTTGCGTACAATTACGTCGACAAGTAGGTGGGGTGTGCAGGGCGGGGCGTCAGATTGAAAAGATGAAGTTAGAGGTTTAATTGTAAGAGTATAAAGTTATAACAGACAATCACATACTACTTTTAACATTGCGGCAGTTAATGCGTAAGAAGGTTTTAAGTTCATGTGTTTGGTGGAAGGTTGCGAACTTTCTATTCCATATCTAAAGCACTGGAAAGTTTTATGACTTAGGCAGTTTCTGAAAGACGATCTGTTGGGTTGAGGGCGGTGCGCCGCGTCGCGTTGTGCCCCTGCTGCACTAAGATGTTTTTCCTTAGTAAAATATTTCTATGCAATATTTTTTGGTCACACATACATTGGTGCCCCACTTCTGTTTTTAGGATTGTCAAGCAGGTATTGAAAATGGATGGATGGATGATTTTCGTGCAGGTTGTCTTTGAAGATTGATGTGTTGAGGGTCAGTATTAAATGTTGAGTTTTAACAGTTATATTTCCTTGAAAGCAGGTTCCATTTTGCATGATTTTATTTGATACCAAAACCGAAATCTGTTGACCTTTTGTTTATATTAGTTGGTTTTGAAATAGATAATTTTTATGTGAAATTAACCTTTACCTTTAACACTGCACATACAGATCCTGTGTTTAGTACAGCTGTCACACAGATAATAGTTACAGCAAAGGAACTAGGATTCTGTTCTTCAATTCACACATACTATCTGACATTCACATACAAATATTTTAGCTTTTATATTGTTGGTTTATCTCATTTGACCTTCCAGTGAAGCAGAATCATAGTTGAACCGGTTTAATGGGTATATAATAGTTCTCGGGTCATTTATTCATATTATTTCCAACCACTTGGGCTCAGTTTATCCCTGCTATGGCCAGTACATTAACTTGCTCTTCTTTTTGTATATAAAACTACATTGAAAGTGTTCATATGCCATGGAATAATAAAACAGCACATAACATATACATAACATTTTTCACTGTAGGGTGATGATACACTTTTTTTTACCTTTGTTAGTTAAGGATTGAGACATAATCTGTTTATGGATCAAATTTACTACCCTGTGTTCCATTTTGGATTCAGTGACAGAGCTGTATACCTAGCAGGGATACACAGAACATTTGGCACTATGTAATTATTACTCAGACAAGGGTGGAACGTGAGATAGATTTCCTAGGAGCCCTATACTTCATTTATGAGAATTCCTGGGAAATTTCTTTTTACAAAGTAATCATGAATTTTTCCATTAATGCCAAAGCTGTTCGTAATCCCTAGAAGAACTTAAAGTACAATAATGGAAAAAGTGTGAATGAGAATATAATAAATTACAGACACACACGTTTTCTAGTAAAACTTTACAGACACACACGTACACACACACACACACACACCATTCACACGGGTAATAAAGGGAGAATTTTGGGAGATGGAAACAATTAAAGAAAACTATCACATAAATGAAGTTCATACTCAAATTGTCGTTCCAAATTTTATAACTCACATCACACCCTGGCGAAGAACACAATCCTGATTGTATTTCTGTTGAGAATGAGTCACACTGACATACACTAGATGGCAATTTCCACGTGGGGCTGTCTTTGATTTAACTTTATCCACACCCTTCATCATATCTGCCAGAACACTCTATGAGTAAACTTCTTATATGACTGTTCCTGAAGGTAAGGTCAGCCTTAAGCCTGAAGTTCAGACTTTTGACTGGACAGCAAAAAGAAAAGAAGTCTGTGAGTTGATATGAGGTTCCCCACAGATGGGGAACTCAATTCCAAGTATCAAGAGAATTTTTTGACAGATATGATAGGTGCTTTGGAGACATATGCCTTTAGCCATAGAGAGCTAATTGTTTCTTCCCAGAGGCTTTTCAGGTTTTGGTAGTGAATGATGTTTGGGTTCAGCCTCAAGTCGCTTCCACACCTGTAAAATATGCATTTCAAGTGTTAGCTCAAAGCTACATAAATAGTTGGCATTTCAGTATTACCTTCCCTGATTTGCTACTACATGTTTCCAAATATACATCCATAGTTAATACAAATTATATGCGTGAAGTAAATTTCTACATTTTCCATGTCTTGATCAATGACATATTCAGTTTTTTGGACACAGTTTTCAGTCAGGTACTAAAAATGAATTAAATGAGTTAGAATTAGTTAAAATTGTTAATAGTTTTGTGGCACTTTCTAACATGGATAGAACTGTATAATAGAATAGTAGCTATGATGGAGTTTTTTGAGTTAAGGAGTGAAATTTGAATTTAATTACAAAAAGATGGTAAGTAGCACAATTATGATATTTGTGTGTTGAATCTTTGCGGGTATGTCTACTTTTCTGCTATTGTGACTTAAGGCCTGGCGAGTGGAGTAAAATGATCTGGTACAAGTTCACACATGAATGCCCTTCTCAGTTTTCCAAAAAAGGTCTGCAGATACAGTGGGGAGAAGGGAAAAGGGCACAAAGGGCCTTGTGTTTCCACTCCTTCTTTGCTCTTTGGAATTTACCTTTAGGCCAGCCATCAAGCCTCTATGGAAGACAATGCACTCAATGTCAGCTGAGGATGGGCAAAAGCGGCACTATGGTTGCTTTTCTGACACTGCTGTGGTCAGAAGTAACGGTTTCTCAGAAACTTCAAACCCCCCTCTCCTCCTCTGCCACATGGGGTTTTATGACCATCGAGCCAACATATTTTGTTTACTAGACGTGGCACACATACAGTAGGTCATAATGAATATTGGTGTGATTTTTAACTATAATCAAACTGAAAGAAAAAAAATATGAGATTAATAAAAGTATGTTTTGATATTAAAATATCTCTTTCACTAAGGAAATTTAATCAGTTCAAGCTGTTTAAAGCCAAAGTCAATTTCTGTGTGCTTGATGTCTTGTGTAGTCTCTAAAAGAACTATGGCAAGGTGAATGAAAGAGACGTTAATACATTTGGAAACAGGTTTTTCTTGCTGTGTTTAATGTGTATGTATTGTTTTTATATTAGGCTACACATTGTGGAGGTATGTAGCATTCTTTGTCTTTCATGTACGCTGCGAGGTCATTTTTGCAGAGGCAACACACCTGCAGCCCATTTCCTCAGTCTAACTGAGAGAAGCCCATGGGATTGGAGATTTAAGACAAGGCCAAGCTAGAGCTGAAGGAGGAATCTGAATTATTAAAGCCAGGAAGTTCATGTGAGCTTTGCTGAACAATCAAGCCACATAAATTATGTTCTTGTGAATTAATACATGCGATTCCCAGGAAAGTGGATTAGTTTCAGGAAGCTCTGCATGTATACTTTAAATGTGTTTTGCTTTTTATGATTTGGGGTAAAAAAAACAGAAGTAAAGTTCAGTACGAAACATTTCATTCTGGATTAAAATCTAGATATGCAAAACTGCTATGTAATCTCATTCATGACAATTAATGAATGGTGGTACACCAGTAACAGTTACTCTATACCATAGAAAGGATTATTCTTTGTATATTTTTAAATACATATGGTTTTGGCTGTTGATATGAATGATGTATATGATTGAAAAACAGCGATGAATAATCTGAAGCTGCTTTAAGTCTCAGAAATTTTTATATTTACATTTATATTCACTTTTAAATAGCATTAACAGCTTTATCATTGGTATCACATATATCATATTCCGAGACCAAAGATCAGAAATAAATTTTAAAAAGCAAACGTTACAAGAATATGTTTTCTTTTAAATAGGAAAAAAAAATAACAAAAAACCATGTGTAACCCTACGCTGGACAAAAGCCAGTGGGGAACTCAGGCTGGGTTTTCCACTGGCAAACATATCTCCCGCCAAGTTGTGATGTGGAAAGAGGCTCTACTTATTCCCCCGCCCCCGAAAAAAAAAATCTAACTATGATCTTGGGGAAACAACGGAAAAAAAGAGGCTGATGCCTGAAAGAAAACTAATAAACCAAACAAAAATTTAACTCCTTCGGTTCAAGGAAAATATTTCATACAGGTAATACAATGAAAAATACTTTGTAAGATACATTTTGCATATTATAAAACAAGAACAGAAAATGAATTTTCTCTTATGCAAAGCTTGTATGCTTGTGTACATTAGGAACATTCTGCATGTTATAATGTATGTAATTTGCCTGTAATATAAAACCAAAAATACATCCAACAGGATACACTTTTGTGCAAATGAGCAAACCTTGGGGTCAGAGAGTAGGGTCCGCCAGTTCCCATTGCCCCCTGAGCATTTGGGGTTAAGGGCCTTGCTCAGGGTCTCAAGGACAATACAATTACTCTTTCGGCCACAGGGTCTGAACAACCATCAGGACATGGGCACCGGATCTAGGCTCACCCTCATTCACCAAGAATGGACATACAGTACATACAGGTAATATTAATGCCTCACTTTTTAATACTGAGCAAATTTTAACATTTGAGCATGTTTTGTTTCTTAGCTACAGGCAGTCCCCAGGTTATGAACGAGATCTGTTCTCTAATACTAATAGTAATAAGAAGAATAACCATACAGTATTAATAAAAGTATCTTATACCTTAATTTAATTGATTTTCCATTTGATATTTAGCTAGAAATTCTTGGTCTTAACTCCCACGTTACCTGCTTCCCATATCGCCATATCGTATCGTACTATATCACATCATGCCATGTCACATCATGCCATGTCACATCATGCCATGTCACATCATGCCATGTCACATCATACCATATCACATCATGCCATGTCACATCATGCCATATCACAACCACCTTCTTTGGTGTTATTTGCATCTACCAATGTGAAATGAACACATTAAATTTCATTTAAACTATAAGCTTAAAACTATTTAAACTACTTGTTTTTAAATTCTACACCAAATGATCTGCATTACTTCTGAAATGCCCTGTTGGAGTTTAATAATGCCCCCCACCCCCCCAAAGAAAAAAAAAGTATGTTTTGTAAGTGTATTGAACCAAAAGTTAATTTTCACTCTTTGATGATAATATATAATTTCTGCTTTAAGTCCTGCTTGGAAAAAAATCTCAACCAAATTAATTTATCTTCTATTGAATCACTAAAATGAACACTTAATCCAAGTTTGTTGCTAATAAACTAGCTGTAATTTAAATATTCAATAATCATTATGCGAGTAAAAAAACACCTATACAAAGTATGACCATCTGCAGAAAAACAGATTGTTTTTAATTGAATCAATAGAGACCCATTAGTTCTCAGTAACCTGAGATCATGCTTTTTTTTTGGGGGGGGGGTCATTCGTATGATGCCAGGCCTAGCAGACGTCCCAGGTGAGGGGCTCTCACATACTCATACCCATACTGACATACTCACACTGACATACTTTACAGATCAAAGTTCACAGAGGATCAGACCAGGCTCAAAATAAGATGCAAATGTAACAAATAAATAAATAAGTAAATAAATAAATTTGTATGTATGTATAGCTACGTACAATTAAGCAGTAAAATGTGTTTGAATGGTTGTTACGACCCCCAGGGACAAGTTACTCCCTATAGGGGCGGATGTTTCTGGGGGGGGGGGGGGGGGAGTGTCATTCTGTTCCTGGCCCTGCCCACTGTTGCATCACCTTCCCCTCTGCTTTGATTGGCCGGGTTTCCTCCTATGTCCCAGATTCACTTCCTTTATAAGGCCTGTCCAGGCCTAGAAGAAGGAGGCCTCTTGCTTTGTACTTGTTTGTTATTTGCTGTATGATTAATGATTTATTGTGCTTGAGCCCTTTTGCTGTTTGACCATTGATTTGACAGTCCTTCATTTTGGAGAGTGTCCTACCATTTTCTAATCACTCTAGTTGTGGTTCTGATGTCCTGATTCAGGGCATTGAACTTGGTATTGTCAAGGTTCCTCTGCATACTGTGTATCTGCGTTCTGACCTTGTCTCTGGGTTTGTTAAAGTCGCACTCCGGCCTCAGTTACCAGTGGCAGGGGTTTCTTTTATTCTTGGGAATGATTTAGCTGGGGGAATAGTTACCCCTTTGCCTGAAGTAATTGATGTGCCTGAATTGAGTGATGTTGTGGTATTACAAGAGTTTCCTGCTGTATTTAGGGCACGTATGATTAATGATTTATTGTGCTTGAGCCCTTTTGCTGTTTGACCATTGATTTCTGCCTAGCCCTTTTCTTTGGATTTGGTTGCTGTGGATTCTGTTCTGTAAACATCTGTAAATTTCTGTACATATCTGCACCTATTGAGGTTCTCCGTGGGTAGCTAGGGAAGTAGGGAGCACAACGCCATTTTGCTTTGATTAAGTTCTCTCACTGTTTTGGAATTAGTCAGGGAGATAGATTAGTTTTGTGTACCTTTGTTTTCTGTTGTTTGGGTTAGGTAAGTGGTATCTTGTTTAGGTTCCAGTTAGAGGTGTTTTGTTTGTTATTTTGGTCTTGTCAGCTCCTGAAGTGGTTCCCACCATTAAATAACCCACCACAAATACCAAAATAGTGGTATCACTCCACCTTTTGTTGCGCCTGACCCTAGACCGGGACGTAACAATGGTATTCAAACTATGATATTATATCTGCCAAAGAGTGCAAGCTTAGCCATTTCTAAATCTCTATTAAAGTCATCCCATTAAGGTTTTTTCAGCAACCATTCAATATACCCATGCATTGTTTGTGTGTCGGATGTATGATTGGCTGTCAGAGGCCTGAATGATGAGTGGAAGCTTTTTCTAGTTTGATATGTTTTTTTAAACAGTGGCACCAGAGGAGCACGGATGTTTGTGCACGTCCTTACATGGTGATAATCAAGAATCTTGAATCATTTGTTGACTCCGCTAGCATGCCAAGCAATAGGCAATCAATTTACCTAGCTAATTGGTGGTTTATCATTATGAATAATTTGCTTTAAGATTAACGTAATAATGGAAGAACAAAGCTCTGTATAAAGAATGAACAGCTGTGAAAGCATGTCT